TCTGCCAAAAGAGACCAGTGTATAATCGAAACTTTACTCATAATCGTTACCTAGCAGTTTGCTTTCCGTCATTATCTGAATTTACACAGATATTACTGGGTCAGCTACAGTGCATACCACTTGATATTACTCTGCATGATCTCTATTCGGATCGAAAAATAAGATACGCAGTTGAAATTAGATGATCTTTGAATCTATTTCCGGGATATTCTTTTGTGATTGGGGGTTGTATGGATTTGGACAGTACCTTAAACAGACCATGGTCGCATATTGCTTCATTCTTCCTTATTTAACGTCAATATTCGTCATCCTTTTCATCTGGTCAAGTTATGGGTATAAGACAAACAGAATCGACGTGCTAAATTTCTTCCAGTAATTAATAAATAGAAAATTATATACGTTATTCGCAAGTTTTTCAGTGACTTAGAGAGGGCAGTGATTTGCTACTGGCCTTCACCAGCACAGTCATTCTTTTTTTTTTCCGGGACTCATGACCATATTTCTCTTCGTCCCAGTACCGCTTACGTGTTTAGGAATGGTGTCCCTTCGACGAGAGGTAGGGGTCTGACTGTCTGCCACAGCCTTGTCAACCATTTGTATTGCACTGGTTTCCTTGAGTAAATGTTGCGTTTTAAAAATACGTGTAAGTAAGACCCGTAGCGAAATTCATATAACATTTCTGTCAGAAACTTGGGGACGTAGATAGAGATGAGAGGATGATGCTAAAATAGATCATAAAGAAAAAGGATGTTGACTGTATTCAATTAGCTGAGATACAGGCTTGGAGCGGGCTCTTGTGATCACGGTATTGGACCACTGGGTTTAACAAAAAGCGAGTTGATCGACTCAAGAAGGATTCCGCTCCAAGGAGTTAGGTAAGGCATGTTTTGTGATTGTGTTCTTTCGCACGTGAAGACATTTTAATTAAGCTATATATAAGTTCACAGTAAGTTCATAGGAGATCCAGACAGAGACGGAGAAAGCAGATGTGACTTACTGTTATTTCCACCGATCGCAGCGTTAGTAATATAAAGGTAACTGTTCTTCTCGAGCGCAAGCAACGAACTTACCTTATGAAATTAATTGTTTTTAATGCGGTTATTTAACGACGCTACCAGCGTCGATGATAAGATGATTAATTTGTATGGAGCGGTTACTGAAATGAAAGTTGGCAGGGGGAGGGCTAAAGTACTCGGAGAAAACTTGCTCCAATATCATTTTGTCCACCACAAATCCCACATGATTTGACCTGGGATCGAGCCCGGGTCGCAACAATGAGAAGCAGGCGATTAACCGCCTGAGTTATAGCAGGGCCGCTTTGCCTTATAAAAATAATTTTGTTTTGTAGTGTTCAGGCATGCGTCTAGAGGTCTGAGAGGAAGCAGGAAACGGTCTGTGAAAGTTTAGGCTAAGAACTTGTTGACTGAACCCTCACCATTTTAATTTTTATTTTTGATACATAAAATCGAGAAGTTAAGTGACCTGTCGCCATTATCATGCAACAGGCAGCGAAACGCTATGAAATAAACATATTGATTCGGTTTACGGAATTTTTTAATCATTCCAGCCGCACTATGGTCCTGGGATCGACTCAGTCTCTAACAGAAATGAGTACCAGGAATCTTCCTGGGGGGGGGTAAAGGGCGGCTGGTACGTAAGGCTGACAACCTTACCGCCATCTGTGAGCCAGTTGTTTAGGGAAAATGTGGGAGCCTCGAGGACTCACAAACCCATGGACCTTCACGGCTTGTTACAGGGATACCTTTAACGTAATCATTTGGACATGAAGAAGAGCCTCCCCCATCTGCTTTCGCTGACGTGTACACTCGTCTTGACAAGGTAAAGCGATACGAGTCGTGCTATATAGCCGTAGGGTAAAACTGTTTATTTTTATACTTCTTTGTTTCATTGTACCAGGACGTATGGGATGATTCTATAAAGGAGATTACAAAATTACTGTGGTTTTGTATCGTCTTAATAACGTCTGTCGATTTCATTAAAGTAAATGGAGTCGTTAGAAAATAAAAGGCAAACAGTGAAGTATATTATGACCTGCTGCTACTGCAGTGTCGTCATTCACGGCTCTTCCTAGTTCTCGAGTTCTCCGTTCAAATTCAGTGCCCATTTTTTCCTACCATAGTTCATTTTTACGGAGCCTAATCTTAGCAATTGCACCTAATAAAAACTCCGTGGTCGTAGTCCGGAAGCGAACTATATCGACCGAGCGACCGCCGCTTGTCGGCGAAGTTAGTGCCTACTTCAGCGGATACAGTGTGTCGCGTGATCAGCGCAACGAATCCACACGGTTTTCTAGACCGGAGCCGCCATTTCCTTGAAATAACTCCTCAGTTATGCTCACGAGGCTGAGTGGACCCCGTTCCAGACCCACTGCCTCTCAGAAAATCTGGTAGCGCTGGGAATCGAACCCGGAACCTCTGGATCTGTAGTCAGGAACGCTGAACAGTAGACGCACAGAGGCGGCCAGTTGCACCTGATATGTCGTTGTTAAATAACCTACTAAGTAACAAAAACGTGAATACTAGCAGTATTTATAGCAATGACGTGGTTAATATCCGCTATTTTTATTCTGAAGGTCCTGGTTTCTAATCTCGGCCGCATTTTGGTTTTCTCCCCTTCTTATTCCATAGTTCTCATCTCTTCAAGGTAGCAATTAAATGTTCCAGGGCTGCTTTCTTTCATATTCTTATCAGTGTTATCGTTCTTAATAATACAGTCACTGAATGCTATTAATGTGATGTGACTGATAGAACTCTCGTTAATTGAATCCTGTTTAATTACCAGCAAATTAGCCTCATCAACACAAGCCTCTGAATTAAATAATTAAACTTTATACAATAGAAAAATTAATTTCGAATGGGAACAGCACTTTTCAATCATCCAGTCTGCCTTTTGAGCTGTTAACTTTGTATACCTTTCTCGAATTTTCTAGTCTGCTGGTCAGGTCTGGGCCTCTATTTATCAAGTTCAAATTAAGTCCACTGCTTTTTGTTGCTGTGGTTTAGTATGTACAGCAGTCATAGACTTGTGAGTGTGTGTGTGTGACGAATTATGGAAATAGAGCTAATATATCCGAAAGGTCATTTCTAGTCTGTGATTAACAACAACGAAATCGTTTAACGGAGCATCACTTAAATTGAATGTCATTAACATTACAGAGCTGTTTATTGCGTTAATGTATCTAGAAATAATTGCTGTTGCCACACAAGGGCAGAAAGAATGGAGATAAAAACAAATTTTATAGAGAGCTGTATATACATACATAAATATAGCGAGGAAAGGCAATGAACCCGGAACTCCAAAGAAATTTCACATGTGAGATGGAAACGGCTCATTTATTTATGTGGAGAAAGATTAAGTAGCTGTACGGAACCTATAATTATATTTTCTTTATCAGAATATTTTCGCCTTATCCATTCATTGTACATGAATAACTTCGACCTTGATCGCTGTAAAGCAAGTAATGAATATAGCATGTTCATTTCTGTGGGTAAGTGAGGACTTGTACCTGGGGCTGAATACGGTCGCCTTTTGTTCATATTAAGAAGCGACCCAGTTGACATTTTAAGAGCTTGAAGAATGTAAGCCTGAGTAAGAACCCTATCATTCAGTGGAAAATTTTATAAAAGTCGAAAAATGTATTCGACGGGAATATATTTATAACGATCCAAAACTATTTCTCATAATCATATTTTATAATGGTTCTTTCTTCATATTAAACTATTAATTTATGTAGCATGAATGGTACATCCATTTTTTCCCCGCTGCATAACGGTTGTCGCCATTCAACTTACTGGATTTATCTTTGCTTGTATTTGTTTGATTTCGTCTTTGCTGGTGCTTATTTTATAATTGGCTTTTTGGCTGTTGTATAAGCACATAAGTAAATAAAGAATTGAATCTAAATATTATTACATTGTTATATTTAAAATTTGAATTGTATCTCGCTGTCATGTTTTATATCAGCCATGCTTCTTAAAATCATTAAAATACTAATAGTATTCATTGTAAATGTGTACGAGTATATTTTACTTTTCTCACTTCTCAATGATAACTTTAATTTGTGTTAATGGAATTATTATTATTAAAATGATATAAATTACCATATTTTTTTATTTTGTTTGTGTGTTTTGTTCCTTTTCCTTATCTCATGGTCACTTTGTAATTGGCCTCTAGGCTCTTAATTTAACATGTAATTAAATAAGAATCTAATCGAATCATAAATAAGGCGCATTAATGCAGTTTACGGTCGCTTTCAGTATCTTTTATCTAGGGAATGTCTAATCCTCTTCCTAATATTTCGGTAAATTTGTTTTGTAGTCAACAGAAACCTCTATTCATACGATTGCTATAATAAACAATTTCAATACAATTTCCTTTAAGTAAAGTCAAGAAGATGTTTGTGTACAGGTAGAGGCCTTGCGACGAGCTGATCACCCGCCCAAGGAGTCCTACCGTATGTCTAAGATCTAGAAAAACCGAAGTGAACGGAGAAGTTCATGGACGTAGGCCTAGGCCCACTGGGGCTGTAGTGCCAAGGAAAAAAAAAAGTCAAGAAGAGAGAAGTGTGATTTTGTTAATCTTTAATGAGAATTAAAGTACTTGCCTCCTGTCTGGAGTTGGCCCCTCGGTAGATGGCGGTTACGTCAGTAAGTATGGTTATATCCTGACCTGGTAAAGAAAATACAGATCAATTAACGTAATAACAACAAGCAATTTGAATTGTTTCATATTTGGTCCGTTACACTATCAATCACAAATTGTCAATGAATAGTCCGTCGAGTGTAACAACGTTCTTAGGTCACTTATTTATTTCACTCGCCTTACATGTTTCGGTTCAAAAGAAACCATCATCAGAGGCACGTTACAAACACATGAAACCACTGGCGTTGTATTGTACACAGTATGTAAGCTGCGTGATCTGCTACAGATGTCGGAGTGTAAAAGCACAACACTTTCTAGTAACGTTGAATGCATGTACACCTCTTGCATTCCATCCAAAGAATGCTCTCAAATTGAGCCGTCAATGTTAAAATATTTAAAAGCTTAAAACATTTGAAATAAAATTTGGCTCCTTCTTGTTGATTCGTCCCGGTGATGGGAATCGTCAACTTGAGGTTGTGTATGCTGCAAAGATATTGTATTATATTAGGTTTTATATATTATTATATATTTAATTTTTATTTTCCCTTAGTGTTGTATTTGATCCTTGCTTACCTTTTGGTCGGATGTGTCTTACGCGTTGTGTGTTGTGTACTGCAGTGGGTGATCTACGTCAGTGTTATTTAAGGCCTTGTGTGTTATGACGTGGTGGTGGGTGTGTTTATACAAGTAGTAATGAGGTCGAACATGCTGTTCTGGTTATTGATCTCTTTTGCCTGTTTCTGCTCATCTATTAATTTGTTTTCCCTATAGTGGCGGTAAATTTGATATTCTTCCTTTATATTCATTAATTTACCTTTCCTTGCCACTTCAATCAGTTCCATGATTTGCGAAATTGGGCCGTATTGATGTTGTCTATTTAAGATGTGTTGAGCATAAGCTGAGTCATTTTTATTGAATCTTATACTTCTTATATGTTCATTATAGCGTGTTATCAATTTTCTGCCTGTTTGACCTATATACACCTGTTGGCACTCCTGGCATGTCAATTTGTATATGCCGCTTTGTTCGTAAGAATTTATGCTTTGTTTTTGGTTTAGTATTTTACCTAATGTATGATTTACTTTAAAAGCTATCCTTACGTTCGTGTTTTTGAATAGTTTCGTAATTTTTCTTGTGTAGTTTCCGTTATATGTGTAGGAAACCCATTTCTGTTCTCTTCTTTCAATGGGGCCCTTTGTTTTTTGTTGTTGACGTTTATGATACATACGTGTGATGAGTTCTTTATTGTAACCATTGTTTTCCGCGATATTAATAATTATGTTTAATTCTTTATTTTTTGCTGCGTTATCCATAGGTAGGATGGATAATCTATGTATCCAGTTTTTGTATGCTGCCAATTTTTGTTCTTTGGGATGGCAGGATTTATTGTTTATCGTTGTGTCTGTCGATGTGGGTTTTCTAAATATCTCCATTCTTACTTGCCCGTGGTTGTTAGTTAGTTGTAAGTCTAGGTACGTTATTTGATTATTATCTTCTTCATTTAGTGTGAATTGCAAGTTATTATTTTGCTTGTTGAATTGATCTAAAATGTATTGGGGTGTTATTTTTGATCGGTTATAAATCATAATTATATCATCTACGTATCTGTTGTAGTAGATGATGCGTTTATCTTCTAGTAAAAGTTTTACCTTTCTTTGTTCGAAGTGTTGTAGGAATACTTCCGCCATTAAACTTGATAAAGGGGAGCCCATGGCTACACCCGAGTTTGGTTTATAAAATTTATCATTGTATTGGAAATAATTTTGATTCAATATCATTTGGAGGATTGTGATAATTTCGTCTTTGGTGGTTTTGTCTATATGATTTTGGATAAGTGAATCGTTGGTGATGTGTATTACGTCGTTTATTGGAATGTTTACATATAGATCTTTAATATCCATCGTGAGAAGTTTGTGTTCTGGGTTTAGTTTTAGTTTGCTGATGTTGTTTGCGAAGTTTAAGGTGTTAGTGATGTTATATTCATATTTTAAGTTTAATAAAGTTTGTAGTTGTTGGTGCATATGTTTAGCTAGTTTGTGTGTGGGGGCATTGGTATTATTTATTATTGGCCTTATTGGTGCATCTGGTTTATGTATTTTTATTTTTGCATTCAATTTAGGGGCTTGTGGGTTCATTTGGTGTGTGTATTTTCTAGTTTCTGGTTTTATTACGTTCTTACATGTTTTTAATGTGTTTTCCACTAATTTCTGGAACCTCGATGTAGGATTTGTTTTTAGTTCGATAATGTTATTATTATCGATGAATTGTTTTACTTTGTTATTTATGTCTTTTTCGTAAATAATTACTAATGTTCTTCCTTTGTCTGCTTCAGCTACAGTTGCGTTATTTTGTGTTAGTTTGTGTTTTATTTGTTTGGTGGTGTATAGTTGTTCCTTATTTCTTCTATTATTTGTTTTTTGATTAGCTAAGATTTGTTTTAGGTTTTTTGTTGCTAAGTATCTGATTGCTTCTTGTTGTTTACTGTCTTTTATTTGCCGTATTGCATTTTCTGTTTCGTAAACAATTTGTTTTACGCACATCTTAGGCGGTATTTCTATATTGTATTTAATACCTTTGTTTAACATGTCCTCCTCATTTTTTGTGAATTGTATATTTGTCAAGTTGTGTGTGCGTGGGTAGAAGGTTTGTTTTTTTTGAGGTTGTGTATCACTGGGAGTTTGTTTGTTTATTTTCCTTTTAAGTTTGGCGTAGTGTTCTTCCATTTCTTCATTTAGCGTTGTGTTTATGTTGTTTTCTATTATTTGCCAGTTGGAATTCCAGAACTGAGCATTTTTTAAATGAACTTCATATAGTTTATTATTAATTTGTTGTTTTTTAATGTATAAGAATTTTAGTTCGTTATTTATTCTTAGTTTTGTTAATTGTTTTTGAGTTAGCTTTGCAGCTTGTGTTGAACCTTTTAGTTTTTGCTTAGCGTAGTTCGGAGTAATGTTTTTGCTTTTACACTCTCGATTAAACCATATATGAGCATTTATTCTCAGTAGTTTTCTTTTTGTGTTAGTATACTGATTAACCAATCTAGCTTGACACGTTGTTACACTCGACGGACTATTCATTGACAATTTGTAACAACAAGCAAGGTCACGTAATATGACCTGCTAGCTGACTGCATTGAGTGGAGTTCTTCAGAAGCTTACAGTATGACATTATTGAGCAGTCAAACAAATCGTCAGAGGACACGTGCAGCGATTAACGGAACGTAAGAACGAGAAATGAAGAAATATAATTTAAATTTCACAAAGCAATAATAATTTCCTCACTTTTACATATAACTGAAACTTGAGCTTAGAAGAAAAAGCGTTTAGATTCGCTTCTTTTAGGTTACGATGCCGTGTAGACTTGTATATGGTTACCGGTGTTTCGAAGGAACCTATTGCCGTCATTTTCAGGATTCGTCCGAAATGTCGGTAACTATCCTACTAACTAACTAACTAACTAACTAATTCCATGGATTTCCCCCCTCTTTGAGTAGCCATCAGTCCCTCTGCTATTCAAGAACTTCCCAAAATTTTGTGGAACACAAAGATTCATTACCGTGTTCAGAACAGCCCGTCACTGGTCCTTGTCCTGAGCAAGATCATGAAGCCCGTACAATCTTACCCTATTTCCCTAACATCCATTTTAATATTGTGACATGTTGAGCTATGGATGACGCCCCTCCCCCCCGCCAGCCGAAGTGAGCCGAGCGGAGCCGAAGTTAGCCGAGTCCCAGCATCCTGGTAGCTATGCAACGCGAGTCAACAGCGGTGACGTCACCAAGGTGCACCGCGGTTGCTAGGCAGCGCGGGTAAACAGTAGTTGCGAGAGACGACCATAGTAACAGCGGTACACAGCGTTACTAGCACGACGGCACCAGACAACAGGGTGCCTATTACGTGGCCGTGTTCTGTATTGTCCGAACGAGGCTACATAAGGAGCAGCGAAGGCTATTCACAGTCAGTCCTCGAGCTACCTTCGAGTTAGTTCCGAGTTAGCCAGCAACCAGTCAGTTGTATTGTGGCATTTGGAGTGTAGTATTTATGATACTGCAGATAGCAGTAATTGTGAATCTGTAATTTGGGTGATTGTAAGTGCGAATGTGAAATAAAATTCGCTATATTAAATACGGCGTGAAGTTATTTGTCGCGTTATACACCCAATACGTGACAATATTTTCCTACCTACGTCTAGGTCTTCCTAGTGGTCTCATTCCTTCTGGCTTTCCGACAAAAATCCTATATACATTCCTGTTCTCCCCATACATGCTACATGCCATGCCCATCTTTCTTCACTTGATCATTCTGATTATACTTGGCGGAGAGTACAAGTTATAAAGTTCCTCATTATGGAGTTTTCTCCAACCTCCTATTGATCTCTCTTCGATGCAGATATTCTCCTCAGTACCCTGCTCTCAAATACCCTCAGTCCATGTTCCTCCCTTAATGTCAGAGACCAAGTTTCACACCCTTTCAGAACTAAAGACATAGTATTATCTGGGAAACAGATGGGCCGGAGGCTGCGTAAGAAAATGGTGCCTGAGGATTTCCAACCTCCGTTAGTATCCAATACACAGATCCCCCCACCTCCTCTCACACTATCAAGCCCTCGTTATCTGTAGCACCAATTACAACTTGTGAGGTCACAACCCCCCCCTCCCCCCAAAGCTCCAACCTGTTCCACTATGGAGCCGAGCTTTACTGCATTTTGCCCTGCGCTTCGGTCGCCCCACGCCTGCTGCCGGTCTGTGTGAAACATGGGTACAAGTCGGTACAAGCACGCGAGGAAATATAAATAGTTTCTGCCCTCTGTTGCTACAGATATGCTACTGAAACATCTGGAAAGGAAGATAGGATTGTCAGAATTCGTAGGGAATGAACGACCGAGTATAAATAAGATTTTGAGGTAGGCCTATGGTAATATAATGAATTATACAAATGTAATTGATTTAAACAAAAGAAAAACTCCGTGATTTTAGTCCGCAAGCGAACTATACCGACCCAGCGACCGCCGCTTGTCGGCGAAGTTTAGTGCCAACTTTTGCGGGTAGAGGGTGTCGCGTGGTCAGCGCAAGGAATCCCCACGGCCGTTAATTCCGGGTTTCTAGACCGGAGCCGCTATTTCCTTGAAATAGCTCCTCAATTATTAACACGAAGCTGAGTGGATCCCGTTCCAGACCCACTGCTTCTCAGAAAAAAATCTGGTAGCGCGGGAATCGAACCCGGACCTCTGGATCTGTAGCCAGGAACGCTGACCACTAGACCACAGAGGCGGTCTGATTTAAACAAATATTGGTAAATATTCAAAATCAGACCTTAATGATCATGGCGGCGGCATTATCTTAATATTATCATTCATCTTCTCCTCAGTTCTTCCGGTTAAACCCTAGGCAAAATTATATCACGTTTTTAGAGGAACACACATTTGACAGTTGAACTGGGCCACATAAGTTTAATGAATAGCTTCCTTGACTTCAGTTCCATACTAACATATTAAATTGCAGCATCAAGTTGCTCTGCGTACATCTGACTTTGCGTTCCGCCACGTCAGTTAATATTGTCACTTGTAGGGTGGTACGCGTGACGAGTATGATGGGCTCTAGTTCGGATGGTTTGATTTGTTGGCACGTCGGTTACGGCCTCTCTTAATCACACGTACATTACAGCGCTATCGCTGATTTACACACACTTCATAATTCCCTGTTGCACGCACACAGTCATCTCTTGGCAATGCAGTTGAAACACAGGAACAAGCGCTTCAGATCACGCCAAATATTACACATGACTAATGTCTTCTAATCCCACACGAAGCCTTCACACGGCGAACTTTCCTTGGCTATCTTACACCGAGAACTCTCTCACTGTCACTTAAACACTCAAACGCTTAAACACACTGAAATACTGAAAGTCAAAGTCACATTGCGACTGACGGTTAGTCAGTCAGTAAGTCTTGGTGTCGAGCCTCATCTGGTTCTCATGACCAGATATTTATTACTGTTTGACATTTACGGTCTTGTTTTTGTGGGGCGCCCTCTCTGACGAGAGGACCGGTCTGTCTCTTATATATGCTACTGGCCCTTGCCAGCCCTGTCTTTCTCGGGTCCTAGTCCCTTGAGACTCGCGACCATATTTTACTGTCTCATATCTGAGAAATCCCTTTTCTTTGCCTCCTACGACTCGCAGGGTCACGGTGGAGGTATTCGACCCCGCCTCCACACGGGTCTCACTGAAATACTCTGAAACAGATTTTCCTTATATAAGCATCGCACGAACAACACAGAAAACAAATCACGTGATACTACTGTTGCAGTGTGACATCATTGCTCCTGCGCGGAAGTCTGTTGAGCCGTTGTCTAGAAGCGGGTTGCGTAAACTCGTTGCTTCATTGTTGCGCGTGTGTTTACCGATCCGTTACCTAGCAACGCTCTTGCCATCGACATTAAAATATTCTCTCGACGTTTCATCTTAAACATGTAGTGACAATAAAGAGAGAGTGTTAACCGAACTTTGCACGTAGACGGCAAAGAAGTCTGAATGCAAAGCCAGATTCATAGTAACGGCTGTATTAGTTTTGTTATTGACCTGCTATTAAGGGCCGCGCCATAGCTCAAGCGGTTAGTCGCTGGCTTCCTACCGCGGCGGCCCGGGTTCGATCCTGGGTCTGGTCAAGTGGGATTTGTGGTGGACAAAGTGGCGCTGGGGAAGGTTTCCTGCGAGTACTTCGATTTCCCCTGCCAATCTTCATTCCACCAATTGCTCCACAATCACCCTCACCTATCATCTGGGGCTGGTACAATAGGCCAGAAGTGGCCGCAGTACAAGGGACTTAGTCCCACCCCACTAGCAATAAAAAAAACGCTGCTATTAATAATAGTGTAAGGCAAGCAGGTAATTAGCTGTACACAATAGAGCGATTTTAATCCTATTCGTCAGTAATCGCTTCAATTTCACAGTCATGCTTCGCTAGGAGATTATTATATAATTAGCTCCTATCTCACAAGTTCACAGCTCTACAGGGAATGAGCCGTGTTTACACACTCAACACTAACTTCGGGACAGAAATAATGTATTATGACGCAATAAGGCATGTCGAGGTACATTTTTAAGGCCATTTTGGTAATTCCTGT